GGACGCAACAAGTAAGTCGGGCGGGTTCCCCAACATAACCTGAGCTTCTTCACCTGGAGCCTGCTCTTCTGCATGCCTGAATTGTCGACCATTCAGCACCGCCCGTGGCTGATAGGCCCAATGCCGGCCCCGAAGGCACTTCTTAGCGGCGCCCAAGTGGCGGCCGCGCCGGCGCCCGTTTCCTTCCGGCGGCCAATTTTCCAACATGTCTCCGAGGTTTACCCAGCCGTCATACTCGTCATAAGAGGCGATACAGCCGATGAACTGGATGGAGAGCTCGTCGCGAGGAATGGCTTGCGCCGCGCGGCCGCAGTCACCCACTCCGAGCAGCGACGCATACAGGGCTCGCTCAAGAGCGTCGCGCGGATGCGCCAATTGCGCGGCACCTGCAATCCTCGGACTCGTAACTGAGGACAGGTTCCTTTCGCATTACATTGCGGACACGCGGACGTGCCATATCATCTTCATCCGCGCGTGCAACGGCGCGCTCCACGCTGCATTGCACCACCCTGTAGCGTTCAGACCCGTCAGGGGCATGAGGCCTGCAAGCTGGGTTGACCTTCATCTGGCAAACGGTTCTCCCCCAGAAACGCCTGCTTCCTTCAGCCAACTCAAGCGTATCAGCGGATTGCTCCGCAGGAGCTGCGGCGGGTTCAGCAGGCGCCCTCGCGGGCCCAGGTCGCGGCGGGCTAGCGCTCCCAGGTGATTTCCCTTTCTCGCGAATGTCGCAGCATTGGCGTCTGGCGACTGCCGGGGCAGCCCCCGGCGCTGTCGAGGCAGTCTGCAGAAGCTCATCACCCGCGTCGCGCTTCGAGGGGGCTCTGTCGGATGAGCCATCCAACGACGGCGCCCAGCATGATCCCCCATGGGCCCCGCCAGGCGTCGGGCCGCGCAAGAATGCAGGGACCGTCGGCATGGGCGCGCTGTCACCTTGGAACGCCGCTGCCGCCACGGCCACGGAGCGCTCTGCATGCGGGTTGCCCCATCAGATCTGCGGGACTTGTTGCTTCCAGGACCAGCGTCAGCTGAACTGGTCCATGTCTGGTGCTTGGCCCGTGGTTGATCAGCGGCTGCAGGTGACTTCGGCGCACTCGGAGTTGGGGATGGACCAACGTCCTTCTCCGACCTATTCCCTGGTGGCTTCGGGCCCGCGGGCGGTTCATCTGCGGGCGCCCCCGCGCCCGATGATGCCGCGGGTTTCCCCGCGTCGCGGGCTGCTGACTCGTCTTGCGGAAGCGAGTGTTCTGGCTTGTAAATAGCCGCGTGATTGATATCAGCCTTGTTCTTGCAATCCAGATCGCACCGCTCAGCGTTAATTCTTCTGCGCGCACTAGTGCCTATCCAGCCCGCGCCCCTGCAATTTCTCGCGACTGGCGCACCTGGGGCAAGACCCATGCCCGCTGTGATCTTCAGGGAGGTGTCTATTTCTATATCAGTCCCATCGCTGCTTTCATTCTCGCAGGTGCGCTCCGGGTCGGGAGGGGCAGCGACCGCAGGATCCACTGCTTCGGCAAGACCCGCGCGACCAGCCCCGTCATCGCCCTCTGGAAGACATGCACCTTCATGGGGAGAGGAAGCGGGTTGCCCCGCACGCGGTGTCTCAGCCGCCTCTCCACGATATCCTCGATTGCATCCCGTGAAGCTGTGCTTGCTGTCGAGGTTCTGCCGCCTTCGCTCAACCGGGTTTGCCTCGCCCTCGGCAATCGGCTGGTAGTCAGCTCTGGTCGGGCGTTCTTCGGGGGGGCGGTTGGTCGGATCTACCCTGCGACCCTAACCATCTCCATGAGACCAGACCCACTGCGTTTTCTCAGAATTCGGGCTCCTCGATGGCCACCCCATCGGACAGGCGGGCCCGCGGTCGTCAGAATGCTCACGCAGACAATGTACCAGTCGTCTTTCCGGCCCTGACTGGTGGCCCTCTTCAGGTCCCTTCTTGCAAGCGCGGGGGCCGTCTTGGCACCCTTGCCTCTGTTATCGCGAACAGTCTTGGCATCGTCATCCCGCGTAACGCTGCGAAGTGGGCACCAGCGGCGGATGTCGCGCTCGGCCCAACCTTGGTCGAGCCGGCACTGCGCGGTTCCCGGTGGAATCAACTGGCGAGCCAGCCCGTGATCTCCATGGCTGACGAGGCGCTGTGCGCCCCGTGCTTCAGGCTCATCTGGCTGATCCTCGAGGCGGGCCCCCCCGCGAGCGCCCCCCCGGGCCCCCGCGCCGGGAAGGCGCGGGCGCTGCGCGCCACGAGAGCGAGCGCGCGAGCGCCCGCGTGAGCAACTCCGACCGCGACGCCGCGGGCAACGACTCAACTTCCCATTCGCATTCGTCGTCATCTGTGCGAATCACGCGTCTCCAGACAAGGCGGCTCGTAGACCGGCCATGCACCGCGAACGCGAAGAGATGGTCTTCGCCATGCCCAAGTCTGCGTTGGATACGTTCGGAAAGATCGCCAGCCCGCCGCGGGTTCACCCGCATAGGGTCGTCGTCGTATGATTATATGTCCATCGGGTTACCAATGACCTGCGGATAGAACATCAATTGCACCCCCCTCCTCTGACGCTGGAATTGCGGCCTCAGAATCTGCGGGCGCCCCCGCCACGTCGCAGTCTACATCGGCGGGCGCGGGGGGGCCCCCGACGAACTCGATCCGCGCATGTTGCCCCGCGATGGGCATGCCCAACCAGTCCGCCAAGTTGGCCCCATCATGGCCAACATAGGTCTCCTCGGAGAGCGCGTCGGCATATCTCTCGAGGGACACGCTGGCCCTTGGATGCCTGGAGGCCATGAAATGGACAGCGGCAGTGGGGGCGTCTGCGGGTTCGGCAAATAGCGTCGCCCAATCGACACACTGCATGTCCGAATCCTCTTGAGCCAAGTGCATCGACGGACCCCTGCCTCTCCCATCGCCCTGGGACGTTCACGACGGAACTGTTCGCCGTTGGCATCTTTCGGGTTACCCCGACGCCCTTCCCCTTTCCTACGGTGCGCCTGCGGCCTCTACCTACCCCCAGGAATAGTTCTTCGCATTGCGGCCCAGTAAGGGATGACATGAATGCCAACGTACCCCTGCCATGCAGTCGCCGTCGTTTGCCTTTTACCCTTGCCTCGACCCTTACCCTTCACTCTAAGTTCCCGTCGGATAGTACGTCGTACCTTATGAACTGGCTTCTTCATGAGACAATTCCAACGGTGTTTATGTTTCTGGTATCCTGGGAACAGCCATTGCGCCTGTTGTTGCTTTGTAAGATACGTAGGCATGTCGGAATAATATCGGGCAGCAGCTCGTCAACTGATGACGCGTCGGCGCCGGCCCCAGTCGAAGTCAGACTCGGCGGGTTGCCCCGCTGAGCCTACAAGGGTAGTGGCTTGCGCGGGGGCCGCCATTGCCGACGGTCCCTGATAGCGAGCCCAGGAGTACTGCGACCCCGTAGGCTGGCCCCCATGCTGGGCTAATAAGGCGGTGGCCTCTGAAGGTTGTGGGCCATCGTGCCAGACGTTTGTAGCCGGCTGCCCTGCGTTAGTCTGAGCATGGAATGTTTCGGCACGGTGACCGCGGCTAACGATACCACCAATGTTGCCAGGAGTTCGCGCGGCGATGTGAGCGCATGACCTCGTGCGTTAAAGTGGGGCATCAAATTGTCGCTGGGTCATCGGCATTCGGTGGTTGAGTGGCTGCACTAGTTGTCGCGCGCGCGACGCCCCCACTCCCAGAGCCCTGAACAGGATGACAACTGGGATTTGGAAGTTGGGGATATTGAAGTCTGCGGTCTCAGCCTCGTAGCGGGCTGTCTCAAAGCGCGCTAACGCCCGGTCGATCCGTTCTCCCGCATGGACTCGAAAGTCGATGAGAGCCGCTCCCGAATTGCATTGGCGTTCCTCCTCTAATGTTCAAACTTCGTGCTGATGAGGAACGCGATGTAGGTGGCGCCATCAGGTTGGCGGCCACCAGTTTTAACGCCAAAATGGATGACTGCGGGGGCACTCTCATGGCCATGGTCCGCGCGAGTCCTCCCAGGCCGCGCTGTAGTGCCGCAGCCTGTTGGGAATGGGTCATGGTGCCTGTGGTCACGTTGATCCAGGCGTGCCCCTCTCGAACGAATTCGCGGACATGTACATTACGGGCAGGGTCCCAGCGGGAGCCGGTTGTTCTTGCATCGTCTCCACCACGCTGCATGCGTCCCACAACACACCCGATAGCGACCCACACGAGGCCAAATATGGCAATACCAATCCAGTGGCACCGTAGGTCGCGGTCGGACATTCGTGGCTGGGGGTTGCGGTGTTGTCGTTAGCCTGCGCGGGGGTGGAGGCGGCATCATGTCGCATCGCATGTTACCATGCATGATATCTTCGACAAAAAATTCCCATTGGAGTGGGAGGGTGGACTTCAGGAGTGCAGTACCGCAGGGAAGTGGGACTCATGTAAGAGGCCTCCGCGAGAACGGAGGTAGCGCTGCAAGCGTCCTCGAAGTTGTGCGTAGGTATGAAAATTCCTCCGCGCAAGCCCACTGCACCCTGATGTTCCACCATGTCCGTCGTCCACCAGATAGCGCCGTGGATGGTGAAGAGTAGAGCAAGAGCTGACCACTAATAGGCCAAATCCGCTACCAAGTTCGAAAAGAGTTGGGAGGCCCAACCAGCAGCTTCGCCTAAGGCGAAGCCCATATCCAACTCTGCTGTACCGTAGTAGCGGTAGTCCAGAAGTAAAAGATCGTCGCGGGAGCGACGGGCCATGTCAAGCGAAAATGTTTTCGGTCTCAATGGCAAGTACTGTGCCCCGCGATGAGGCACAATCATATCGTGGCGGCCGGCCGCTTGAGTACAAACGGCCGTGGACAAACGCTCGCTATCTCTCGCTTTTGCCCCAGCCTCGTTTAGGAGTGCCTGAACAGGAGGTCGAAAAGGAGGGCAGAAACTTCTTCCCCACTCACGACATCGCCCAAAAAGTGTGGCGGATCTCAGTCAGGGTGTGCCAGCACCCCCCCTGCCGCTGCCCCCCTTGACGCCTCGTCCACGCGCGCGTCCTCGACCACCGGCGCCAGGGCCAGCGTGCTTACCTCAGAGTCCGCGATAAGGGAGAGCGGAGCTTGGCTCAGCAGGGGGAACATCGACCTTGAACCAGAAACTCATCCCCGATAGATCGGCGAGAGGCCTCCGATTGCGAATCCGCACGTTCCTGGGCGGGGCGGACCATCGGGCCCCGAGCCCTAGCGGCGATGGATGGGCGATTGGGGGTCGGTGCATCCCCCCTCTGAGACTATCCCCCCCCCCAGCGTTGCCCATTGGTTTTCGGGTCATAGCTGGGCTCTCCAGCGGCCGTTCGGGAGGATCTGGGCACGCCCGGAACGCTCTCGGCGAGCCGCGGCTGCTGCAGAGCATCTCGCGGCTGGAAACCGCCCAGAACCGACGAAGGCCCCCAAGAATCGTAAACCTCGAACCCGAGACGTCGCCCCCCAGCGTTGCCCCTGCTCACCTCGCCCGACGCGGCGGAGCACTGGCCCTCGCCCGCCCTCGACGCCGCGCTCACGGTGCAGGAGTAGCCGCTGCCGTGCGCCAGGCCGCGCACCACCGCCACGAAGGCGGGGGACCACTGGTCGTTCTCCGCCTCGTCGGGATCGGCCAGTGAATCTAAAGGCACCCAGGGAGACGCAAACTAATGGACACAGGTTTCAGGATTCCCTGTAGCTTTCAACCTTGCCTGGATGATCGCCTTCCCCTCCATCTCCAATATTTTCGCGGGAATCGATGCTTTGTTGTATGTGTGTCAAGTTTCCCTCATGGGAATCGACTCGGGCGGCGTCGGCACAGAGTCGGGATCTGAAGGATCAGCCGCACCAGGAGGCACAACGAAGCCACCCGAGCATCGGGCCGCATCGGATATGCCAGAGAATCCGACCGAACTGTCCCGAAGCGATATCGAATCGGACCGATCGGATCGAAATGAACCCTGTCTTGCCGGGCCGCCCGAAACGGGAGAGTTGGCGAATCGGGCCAGGCACTAAAAATCTCTGGCGGATCGGCCCATGCACCGAAATCTCCGACGATCTGATGATTTCCGATCTTCGAGCTTCGGCCTCTGGAGCCCATTCTCGAGCCTCTGGACCATGAACAATGGATCCGGAACGAAAACCTAACCCCGGGGAGTAGTCGGCAGTTCTGGGACCAGTCGTCCTCTGCCTGCTCGGGCCGCTCGAAGTTTGAGGGCTGACCTGCTTAGCCGACTTGAACTGGATTCTTGCTATAGGCGAACCGGCGACTATTCCCATAGAAGTGGCCTAACCACGTTGGAGCGGGCCGCCGATCTCAGTAGCGAATCGGCTCTTGCAGCTGGTCTTCCCAGCGCCAACCAGCGCCAGAGGCGCCCATGTCAGTATTGGCGGGATGCAAATGGGGGGATAAGTCCAGATGGGGAGAGAGGCGCAACCGAGGTACAAATTGTACCTACGCCCCACGGAGAAGGTACAATTTGTACCGACGCCACGCAGACAAGGTACACATTGTACTTTTGACAACGTCCGCGACATGTGCGAGGATGTTAACGGGGGGGAGAAGGTACAATTTGTACTTGCAACCCGTAGAGAAGGTACAAATTGTACCCCAACAAAACGGCACCGGATACTCATCCCCCCATGTCCTGATCCCCCCATCGACATCCGGCCGACAGTATCGAGATTGCGACGACGACGCCGCCGGTCCTTCGGCATGTCGCAGAGGCGTCGCCAGCAGACGATGGCGAACGCGCGGGCGGGAGGCCAGGGCCAGCCGGACCGAAACCAGCTGAACCAGCGGCGGGGCCAGTATCGAGGAAAAGCGCCAAGCGGCGGGGACGAAACCAGCGACATGCCGCAGAGTTCGCACGCACACGCAAACACACACATGCACCCATTCGGCGGCGCGCCGAGGGGGAATGCAGAGGGGGCGTGCCCTCTCAGAAGGCGGCTGGGCTTGGGGGAAGGCTTGAGGGCCTCGCGAGGAGCCGTCTTGGGGGCCATCTTGGAGGCCTCGTGGGCCGTCTGAGGCTGTCGGAAACTCTCGAGGGCGAAAGCGCCGACGTGTCGGTGCGAGCTCCTCAATCTTGGGCCGCTCTCGGAAGCCTTGTGGGACCGTCTTGACGAAAACCAGCAGCAGCAGGACGAGTACGCGAAACGAACATTCTGCTCCGAAGTGGGACCACCAGGGGGCACCAGCCAGGCCGGAGGCCTTCTGAGCCTTCTGAGGAAGTACGCCTTGGAGGCGGCCAGGGGCTGAGACCGCAGACAAAAAAGCCAAATCCGTTCAAAATCGGTCCCCCGACCCTTCCGGGGTCCATCTGGCGCAGTTCTCCACCCACGATCCGTTTTCGACTGCCTTTTCGAACCCAGCGTCTCGACCCTGTTCCACCCCTTCCTGCTGGCCAGAACCAGCGCTGGGCCACCTCAGGCTCAGACCCCCAGCCCGCTCCAACTTCTGAGCCTCCCGAGCCACCCGACCCGAGCCTCGCAGAGCATGGTGTCGGGCCACCGCGGGCCGCACCGGACGGCGTCGGCGCTGCCGCTGCGGCTCCGCTGGCGCCAGAGGCCCTGCCGCTCCACCTTGCGGGCGCCAGAAACTCGGAACGAAACAACGTTGCCATCTCTTGGGAGGGCGCCTCTTACTCGGGCGTTGCTTCATGGGGGGGCGACAAGTACGGGGGAGAAGCGTGCACCTTTCGCGCCCCTTGTGGGCCCCCTTCGAGGCACACAAGGTACACCTTCCTCCACCCCCCTGCTAATCGCCCCCCCCATTACGCAAACGCCCGCCTTCCTTCCGCCGGTTTCCGCCGGCGCTGTCGCCCCCGCTTTACTTCCGCCGCCTTCCGCCGGCTTCCCGCCGGGCAAGAGACGGCAACTCCTTCGATCTTCGAAGGCGAGGCCTTTCTGGAGCGCCTCACCTGCTCCGGCTCGCTCGCCAGACGGTCCCTCCAGGCCGCGGCCAGGGCCTGCGCCTGCGCGCAGGACGCCCGGACGGTCTTCGCCTCCGCCCGCCCGGCCGACGACGGCGCCGCGCGAACCAGAAACTCGGCGATGTCCTCGTCGTGCGCCGTGCCGTCAGCGCTGCCGGCCTCGAGCTCCTGGGTCGGGGGTTGTGAAGGCGGTGTGCAGTCATCGTGCTATCCACAGGGCCACGCCGAAAAGAAGGAACGAAGGAGTTGTTCTGGCCACGGCGAGCCCTGAAAAGCGGTATACACTCACCGTGCTATCCACAAGGAACGCCGAAGGAAGAACGAGGGCGGCGGTATTCACACATAGAGTGCTTGGAGACTGTTCCCCACTTGTTTTTTTCCCACCCGCGTCGCACCCGCGTTCCCACACACACACACACACACACACACACACAAACACACATACACACACAAACACACACAAACACACACACACACGCCTACCCTCCTCACCTTTCCTTACCTCTCCCCCTCACCCTTCTCCACGTTCGACATGCACACAATACATCCGCACACGCGAATCGCACGCAACAGACGCATGCAACACATGCGCGGCCTTCGCGTGGGACACGCGCGCACGCCACTTCAGTCTTGCGTGTAACGATGGATGACGCAACACCTGTGCGGCATCGCACGCAACAGACGCAAACATTGAGACACACGTGGACATACAGCCGTACATACATCATACACATACACGAGAGACACGTGCACTGACCTAGGCGGGCATGTGACACGCGCACCATACCCACACATGCAACACATGCACATACACATACACATGACGCGCACGCAACACAACACACACACGCGCGCGCAAGATTCGCATGGCATGGCAGGCGTGGCATATTCTCGACACCATCGGGGATGCGCAAAGGGTGGTCTCTGAGCGCGGTCGCTATCTCGATCCGTGACGGTCGTCCAAGGCAAAGCAGGCGTGGCATATTCTCGACACCAAACGGGGTACGCACGGGGTGGTCTCTGAGGGCGGCCGCTATCCGTGACGGTCGTGCCATGGCATAGCGGGCATGGCATACTCTCGACACCACAGGGGGTGCGCAAGGGGTGGTCCCTCAGCGCGGCCTCTATGCGTGCCAGCGTCGGAAAGTGTGACAGGCGTAGCACTTTCTCGACACCAGAGGGGGTGTGCTGGGGGTGGCCCCTCTACGCGTCCCGTATGCGTGCCAGGGTCGGCATGTGTGGCAGGCGTGGCACTTTGTCGCCACCAGAGGGGGTGCGCAAGGGGTGGTCCCTCAGCGCGGCCTCTATTCTCTATGCGTGCCAGGGTCGGAAAGCGTGGCAGGCGTAGCACTTTCTCGACACCAGAGGGGGTGCGCAGGGGGTGGTCCCTGAGCGCTGGTTCTATGGGTGCCCGGGTTGGAAAACGTTGCAGGCGTTGCATTTTGTCGCCGTCGGAAGGGGTGCGCAGGGGGTGGTCTCAGAGCGCGGTTTCTACGCGTGCCCGTGTCGGAAAGTGTGGCAGGCATTGCATTTGCTCGACCATAAAAGGGGGTGCGCAGGGGGTGGTCCATCGACGCGGTAACTATGCGTGCTACGGTCGGACGACCGAGCAGGCGTGGCAGTTTCTCGACAACAGGGGGGAGCACAGGGGGTGGTTCCTGAACGCAGCCATAGGGCGTGACAGGGTCGGAAATTGTTGCATGCATAGCGGTTGGAACTGTAAACACCTTGGCCTGAACCGACTCGAATGCATGCTTTGCTTTCCTACGCGCACTTCAAAGATAGGTACCACCCCCAGTCTGATCGACACCGCCTGAAGGTTACTCCACGTGCACTCCACTCTCTCATCACATCCGCCCCACCGCATGCCAAAGTTCAACCACCTCCGCGACAAGGTTTTCCAGAGCACCACCCAGACTAAGTTCAAAACGAGCTTAGCTCCCAAGGTGCCCCAAGAGGGCCCCAAAAAGTGGCCAGGAAACCCCAAGAGGCCCCCACCCCCAAGAGGTTCCCAAAACATCCCCAAGAGGCCCCACAAAAAAAAACGAGGCACCCAAGATGTTCCAAGAGGCCTCGGCGTGAATGCCAAATCATTGATTTTACAAAGGTTTTAGCCACATGTTGGCCTTTGGGGGGGGGCACTGATTAAGATGACTCCTGAAGCGCCTGGGAGAGCCCAAAATGACCTTCAATATGGCTCAAGATATCCCAATATGTCTCATAACGGTTTCCTCTGTGTGCTGCCCACTTCCCTGATCGAGGCAATTCCTCTGGGCATCGTTTCTGGTTGGGCTGGTGGGGATTCACGAAGCGTCAACAATTGCTCCCAAGCACCCTATGGCAGCACGGTGGTGGTGCATCAAAAAGATGGACCCCCCGGGAATTCTGTAAACCACCCCGAAATATACACCACGTGAATGCGTGTTTTTTTTTTTTGCACATGCAACCGCATGCCCAAACGACGCTACACACGCAACACGTCATTACCGCGAGATTCGGCGCACCCTGCAAATCGCCGCCGAAACAAAAATCCGATCAACCCCAATGACAGAAAACCAGCCCGCGGCGGTGATGCATATGCGTGGGTCCCGGAGCGGGCTTCTCCAGAGCCTCGCAGACTGACGACGTCCCCGCCGCCCCCTCACTCTTATCCGCACCTGCGGGGTGCTGCGCATTACCCCGCGTGTGCAGGCCCGCGATCATTCGCAGAAAAAAACATTGCAATGTGAACCCCCTAGAGCCCCCCCGGCGCGCGAGATGTTCGCCCTCCCTGGACCCCTCCCCCCACGCCCCGGCCTGGTCGATGCAGAGGGAGGGGGGCCGCCCAGATGCCACGGGCCCAGCCCACGCGATCATGGGAAGACAGAAGCCCCCACAACGAGCCCAGAGGGCCCCAAGAGGCCCCCAAGACAATCCAGGAAGGCCCACAATCGCTGATATTTGGTCCAGGAAGGCCAAGTAGTCTCCAGACGGCATAAGACGCCCTCGAAACGCTCCCAGAAACCTCCAAGAGAACATTTCTTCATGTTCGGTGATGACGGGCGTCATGGGAGGGGGGGTCGGTCGGACACTGGCTATGACGCTGGGTCGTGCTCTGTCTCTGAGGTAGGACTTATGCCTGAGAGGCCCTCTAAGGCCTGGGAGACCCTGGGGCCGAGAAGACAAAAAGCCAGCGTTAGCCTTCAGGCCAGAGAATGGCCTCAAAGTGCCAAGGCGCTAAGCGTTTGCGCTTGCGCTCTTTGGCTAGAGCGCGATTGGTTTTCATGCGCTCCAACTGCTCAGACGTGAGCCGAGCAGGAGGCGGCGGCGGAGGAGGGGGAGGGAGGCGAGGGACAGCTAGGGCAGCAACTGCCTTCTCGTCCACCTCGAGGTCGCGAGCCGCCTCCTGCGGCCACAGATCCTCGGGGGCCTCGGACGGAGGGGCCTCGCGGGGCCCGGGGGGGCCTCCTGGGCGGCGGGGGAGGGGGAGACAGAAGAGGAAACGGGGGGAGCCCATCTCCAACACTCAGGGTCCACTTTACGTCTGTTCCCTATTAGCACCAGCGTAGTCGGGAGCTTCCCAGGACTGGTCGTGTTCAGACCATGGCACGCAAAATATGCGAATAACTTCATCCTGAAACTCCGCGGTGACGGCAGCCTCTGGAATATCCTCAGCATCTGACTGGACTGCTTGTGTATTGCTTCAAATATTGCTGTGGCCAGGGCCCGACACATGGATGGGGGGTAGGTATATTTGCCGTTGGTTTTGAAAGTGTCATCGCCCTTCTTACCCAGAAGAGTCATATGAGCATTTCTCCCGTGATCGCAAAATCCGCTGTTCCTCGCCTTGAGACGATAATAGAGACCTGGCAGCCGTAGCGCCCGGATCCTGGTAGCTCATCTGCCGTGACACTGTGTGTTCTCGTCTCGGTGCATGCATCGGTCAAACTGAATGGCACTGACCAGCGGGCAGCTCTCGAGGGCACGCAATGGCACCCATTGAAAACTTGACGGGGCTTGCGGACGCCATGAGGCTGGCGGAGGATGTTCCATCCATCCGCACGCGCCTGCTCGAACATGTTCTGCAATCGGATGGGCGATTTCTATGTGTATATATATAATGTGCGAATTTGATCGCGCTGAGCTTCGGGACGCCATGGCACCCCCCACACGTGCTTCTGCGCCCTCTCAAGGGAGGGGGGGGGGCACCTCGCTGCGCCCCGCAGTTCACAAGGCCCCCCCCCCCCCCCCCCCCTCCAGTGATCCAAACTCTGCGGCGTCGCACGTGATCGGGCCACTCTTCGATGGTAGCAGCTCTGGTGAGATCTCCCATGGCGTGATGCATGGCGATGTCCGGCGACAGAGCGGTAACCTGGATGTCAGACGTGGCTTGCAAGTCGGAAAGATGCCATTGGACATCTCATCCCCGTCGACGCCAGCAGAAAATATTCACTATAAATACCTCGGGTCGTCGTAGGCGGCATGGCACAGCCGTAGTAGATATGCCCCCCAAGTCGTCTGGCCTGAATACATAGTACCTATCGCAGTATCGAGCCTGTGGTGGTTCTCGTTGTGGTGCCTCGTTGGAGCCCTGCCGGGCCTTGCGTAGTATGGGAAGGGCTTCCTCGGGAAACTCGCATCGGGTCAACCTGCAAGACTTGACGGGCCCCATCCCCCGAGAAATGCGAGAAAACCCCAGCAGGCTCCCATGGGGCGCCTTGGGTGCCTAGAGTGGCTGGATACGCTGATCGCCACCTTCCTAGACCATATTTTCTCCTCTTGGCTCCGATAAGGCAATCCTCCTCTGCTGCTTGAAACGCTTGATCTGACGACAGTTGTGGCCCATGACACATGTAGGCCATGCAACATCTGGCTGAGTCGAAAGCAATATGGTCGCGTAGCTGTCTGCTAGAAGCAAACGCCGCGCAGCATGCCTGGCGCGCTTGCCCCCTCCCCACGAAACGTTCGACCAGTGATGCAATTCGGAAGTGGTTATGTACAACGTGCTTTCTCAATGCTCGTGCCTTTTCGAATGTGACTGCGCACCAAGGGCAAGCAATCTCGGTGGTCGCCTGTGTCTCGGCTCTGCGCAATGGGCGGCCGGGGTCTGCGATGGGTAGCGGGAAGCCGCTAGGCTGCGCGATGGAGAAAAACACGTGTTCAGCTCTGTCTGCCGCGGCTGCGTCTGC